GTGTGTGTGTGTGTGTGTGTGTGTGTGTGTGGCCAGGACATCACCATCGAAAAGAAAGCCAGGTGTTATGTATCCCTTAAAGTAGAGGTTATATGATTGCTTTTAAAGGGAAAACCTGTTTGCTGTCATCCAAATTTAAATTGCTACCTTTAATGCTTCTGAACTTTGACTCTTCTATATCTCTATTACCTATGACTTTTTCCATTTTTCTCCCAGTCGAATACCTCTGTAACTCTGTTACTTTGTGTGCTGTGAACATACTTTTGTGTTTTTAACTTATTTTGCATTATTAAAAATACGCAGGGTGGGCCGGGGATTTAGCTCAGCGGTTCGGTGGCCTGCCTTGCAAGCGTAAGCACCCGAGTTCAATCCCCAGTACCAAAAACAAAAACAAAAACAAAAAAAACACAGGGAAGTACACAGAATACTATAGTGAATGTCCATGATCCTACCACCCAGTTTAAAGACTAAAACATACCTCTTTTTCTGTAGCAATTTCTGGGTTCTAATTCAGCGTGCAGGAAAACACCACACAGATGGCAAACATTCTGTGAAAGGCCTGGTCACCACCCTGTTCCTAGTGGGTATGGAGTCACAGAAAACCCTGCAGTTGCAGCTGTGTGGTTAATGCTAAGTAGCCAGACAGTTGTGCCCCAGGTAACTCCTCCAGCAGTTCCAGATCGTGAAACTGTGATGCAGTGCAAATTTATATTTTACCGTGCTGCATTTTAAGCACAAAGACTAGGTGTTTCCCCTTTGTAATCTCCATCAAAGACATTTTTCAAAATCCCCTTTGTGTGCCTTATCGCTGGCTTCAGTGCACATTGTGTGTTTGCAAACAGTCTCTAGCTACATTATAAATCCAAGGGTATATGTGTGTTGTCAGCCTTGTGGAATCCATATACACATGCTGTTTCAGCTCATTCCACTCTAAATATCTGACCCTCTGTTGAGTGTAGGAGACCTAATTTGACTTGCCTGCTATGGTTTGGGCTCTGCTTTAAAAGAATCACTGATGTTTGGATAGTGTTTGGGCCACTGACATTGTATCCGAGGAAAGGATGCGATGTTTTATCTTCCAGAGAATACAGTTTCTTAAACATGTTCCTGCTGCCACCGTGTGTGATTCCCATCCTGGTCTGTTTGCTCACATGGCACCTTGGCTTGTGTGACTACGCATTCCCACAGCAACAGCTGCCTCTGTTCCACTTTGGGAACTTGGTTTCTTTAAGGAGTCAGGTGTGCAGAAGAGCAGCTTGCTCGAGGTTTACAAGCACATATTTATCACTTGAGGGTATGTTCTTTTCTAAGAATCCTCAGACCCACAGTCTCACAGAGAAACAGGAAACAGAATATCAGTTGATTTTTTTAAAAAATCTGTAGCCTGATAAACTTGCAAGTTTGCAACTTGTAAGCTGATGGAGAGACCTGATCTGTCCCCTTTGTCCAGATTCAAAAAAATTGAAATTTAAGGCAACATTTTATAGAACACAAGTGCCAAAGATCTGTTTTTATTCCAACTGTATAGCAATGAGGAAGTTTTCAAAATGAAGACTACATCACACATATTTTATTTATATCCATATTGTTTTAAGCGTTGATTATCTTTTCATCTGGGATGAATAGGATTTCTCCACATGCCATTTACGAATTCTTAAATGTGAGACTTCATTAGTGTAATAAGCCCTCAGTCTTCAGAATTACTTGAAAGGAACAGCTCCTGAATTCCAAGCACATAAGTTGTTACAGAATTTGTTTTTCTGATACTCGTTATAGCAAAAGCAAGAGAGCTTGCTGATTTTCTAGATTTTATTACCAACTGAATATCAACATTAGTCACTGGCTTTTTTATTTTTCATTTTTTTGAACTATGTATTTCCTTTCCACTGAAAAGAGGAAAAAAAATGTCTAAACTTGCTTATCTCTCTGTAGGACAGTCGGCCCAATATGTCAAGACCTCTGATCACTAGATCCCCTGCATCTCCACTGAACAATCAAGGCATCCCTACTCCAGCACAACTCACAAAATCCAATGCGCCCGTCCACATCGATGTGGGCGGCCACATGTACACCAGCAGCCTGGCCACCCTCACCAAATACCCCGAATCCAGGTAATCTGAGAACCGCCAAAGTCAGACGCACACGTGCATGTAATGTGATGATCTAACCGTTCTTCCTTTGACCAGCAGAGCAGCGTTCCTGTCTCCCAAGTCATTTGCCACTGTCATCATTTTGGTGCTGCAGATCTTAGGCAAAGCCCTCAATTAGTGTCTCGCTTGGAGATTTTCTTTGGCCATCTTTCCTTGAGTACTCGAGTCCATTTTTTGTCCCTTATTATATCCACTCCTGAAGATGCTTATCAAACTTCATAGATCTTATTGATATCTATACCTGCACTGTCTCTTACAGTAGCCAGTAGCCCCATATAGGGCACTTGAGAAGTAGCCAGTCCTGGAGTCGGGGATTTAACTCAGTGGCACCGTGCCTGCCCTGCAAGCACAAGGCCCTGAGTTCGATCCCCGGTACCAAAAAAAAAAAAAGTAGCCAATTCCAACGGAAGTGTTCTCCAAGCAAAAAATACACAGTAGATTTTAAAGGTTTAGTAATAACATATATGTGAAATAATATCTCAATTTATATGTGGATTTCATGTTGGAATAATATATTGAGTGAAGTAAAATATGTTATTTAAATTAATTTAACTTCTTTTGACTTTCTAATGTGGCTATTAGAAAATATAAAATTGCATGTGTCTTTTATTATTTCTATTGGATATTGCTGAACTATAATACATTTTTACAAAAGCATCTAATTAAACCTGCCCTTTCCCCACCCTGATACTTGTCTACTTCAAAAATTGAATTTCTTTTTCACCAATGTAATTAGAAATGATAAAATTGCTCATCTACCTTTTCCCAATTTTCCCCTTTGTTTTCTGTCAGCAATATATCACATTATTGCAGAAGAAATAGCAAAAACTAATTGTTTTTTCATTTGTGGTGCTGGGGATGGAGTCCAGAGCTGTGTGCATGCTAAGCTTGTGTTTTGTCTCTGAACTACATCCTGGGCCTGAGTGCAAACAACTTGATTCGTTAGTCCTGCGTTTGGATGTGGGCTCTACTGTTTGCCTCATACTTGTTTGGTGGGTGGACAGGTCCAGTTGCTGAGCACCTGTCTTCTCTCTTATAAAATAGACACAACTATGTCATCTTGCAAGGTTATGGGGAAGAAAAGCACGCCACAGCCTTGTGCCTGACACACAGTACTGCCTTTATACATAGTCTTCTGCCAAATTCAGCAGTTGTTTCTTTTCAGATTGCCTTCCAGATCCCAAATACATCCCATTCCTTCCTTCCTGCACCAGGGTAATAGTCTGACATCTTGATTACTACCAACTCAGGGGAACTCCTGAAACTTGTGGCCTTTCTCTTAGATTCCTCCATCTCACACTCATCCTTATCATTAGAAAATAACTAAAATATATGTCAAGATTCTTGAAATAAGCCTTCCAGAGTAACTTCTAGCAAATGCCACTGGTCATATAATATTGGCTTAGATATCAAATTGGCCACAGTATACACTGCTTTACTCTCTTTTAGTTTTTATGAGATTTTTTGTTTGTTTGTTTGTTTTGGTAGGAAATTAAGCATTCATTTCAAGGCAACAGTCGGTTGAACAGGACTCATACATACATTTTAGTAATCACAGATCCAGAGAAGAAATATATCTTCCTGCTTTTCCCATAGGTGTCACGCACTCCTGGAATATCTGGGGAAAATCTCTTGCATAGTATTAGCCCTTTGGGCTGCGCGTGACCATAAGATTGCACATAACTCTCATTCTGGATCTCTAGATTCTCAAGTGCTTTGAACCCTTCTGTCCTTGTGAGACCATTTCCTGTCTTGCTCACTTAGAGCTCTGCTTCCTCTCTCAGCTGCCTCTTGTTGATGTCACATAGAAGTCTTTCTCTCCGATGGGGAGACTTATAGGGTAAAAGTACTCATTTGTATGTAACACATGACCTTAACAGATGTAGAGCCGGGGTTATACTCAGTGGTAGAGCACTTGCCTAGCAAGTGCAAGGCCTTGTGTTTTATCCCCAGCACTGGGAAAGGGAAGAAGGACAGAAGAAAGGAAGGGAGGAAGGAAGGAAGGGAGGAAAAAAAATAGTATCTTTCTATAATGTCAAAGGTCCTACAAAGGACCTTTACTGCCTTTTGAAATGATTGTCAGTGATTTTCTACTTTATCTCTTTTTAGCCTGCCCTTTTGGCTAAAGACCTGTGTTAGAACATACTCCCAGAAAGAGGTGTGCTGGTCTACACAGCTAAATATCAGCAGAATCTGGAGAGCACTTCAAAATGAGGCCCTGCCCCAGACCCATAAAATAGGAACCTGTGCAATTTTTCTAAGAGGTTCTGGTGTTCACCATCTGGCTTTGAACAACACCGGCGTGTACGGTTCTTCCCTCCACAAGAAATAATCCCCTTCCTCAGTGAGCATTTCATGTTGAATCATCATGGCCATTTTACTAAAAGATACCTTTCCGCCATCCTTTCTTTAACACCCAGATTACCAGTGCCCCAGGCATGTATGTGTGCTCCTGCACTTGGAGGGGTGGAGGCTACACCCTGCGTAGTGATTCAGTAAGTCAAAATTCAAGTTGACTTTTGTGTCTCACAGCAAGGTTAATTACATGATTTTCACATCCATCAGCAAATGGTTTCTGACTAAAGAGACTGAAGTTTTCAAATTGATGAAGTATCACATCCATTAGCGATGTTCTCGGTCTTGACCAGTATTGTGTGAGGTGCAAAGCAGCTCTCTGGGAGAGCATGGGAGGCAGAGCTGACCTACATCATCTTGTTGACAAACATCAATCTCTTTTGGCAGTGGCTAGCAGCCTCTGACTTTGATGGCCATTGTGAATTTCAGTCTTCATGAACTCTCGGCTCAGAAGGATCACAAGTTCAAGCCCAGCCTGGGCAACTTAGCAAGACCCTGTCTCAAAAACTTTAAATTTTTTTTTTTGAAAGAGCTGGGAATATAGCTCAGTGCAAAATCCCCAGGTTCCATCCCCAGTACTGGGGGAAAAATAAAACATGTAGGTCTATCTGCAATAATTTCACCCCAAGAAAGTTTTACAAAAGTAAAAAAAAAATAAAATCACCATCAAGAAAAGATATAAAAAGTGAAGAGTATCTTATACGTTTGTTGGCTCAATTTATAGTTTGCAAGTATCTGGAAATATGAGATAGACCTTCACTGTACTCTTATGTTGGGCCCAACAGATTTTAAGGGCAGACCTGATTATGTCTGATTAAAAATTGAAGGTACCTTTATTGACATCATTCATAATGACAGATCTAGATATTTAAATAATGTATCAATCCCTAATTACATGGAATCTTTAAGATCTACTCTCGATACATGTTTGTGATCCTGAAAGTATATATTCAGTACCTGCTTTAAAGTTAGACACACGTCTGAGCTCAAAGGGAGGTCTCTTTCATCTTTTGTTCTCACCTCTAACAAAAATAATCTTAACAGCAGCTGTATTGATGGCTATTGGACGTCTTCCAACCAGGAAGTATGCAGAGACTAATAATGAACAGGATCTCTCAGGGGTTACAGAGGGTCTTGGTGACAAGAGCTCACTGTCAACCAGTGACCCCGAGGTGAAAGACAAGATCTCATGTTCCAGTCCCCTGAGCCCTCTGATCTGATGACTTGACAGAACTTTTGTATCTTTTAAACCCAGTACATGAGTTAACACCCCCATAAGTAGCTTATGCTAAATCGGTCTCTGAAATAGCAGCAGTTACTAAGCACACTGGCACATGGAGGCAACTGGAAAACTCCAGAGACTCCATTTACATCTATGTTCTCAACGCCCATGGCCACCCAAGGGCCACGTGGCCTGGGAGGCTTAGGGTGGAGATGCCAAGTGCGTGTGCCTTAGCAGTGACCGGCTCTGGGAGTGCATCTCTCTTGGGTGTGTTAGCCACTGCAAGGTCATTTCTGTGCAGCTCCGCAGAAAGGAAAGTCGGGTGAATGCAGTATGAAAGGACGAGTGTGCATACTCTGAGGACAGCTGAATTCTAACACAGGGACTTCCACGTACTTGTTTCGGGAGTTTTCTGTGATTCTGTATTAGGGCTTGGTGCTGTTGTGTTTTATGACTTCATGGCTCTTGCTTTAACACAGCGGTCCCTGGACAAGGGTCCTACACAGTGTCACACAGGCCCATGTTTCTAAATGCCCCCAAATAAATGCATCCAATTTGCCAGCTTGCTCAACTTTCTTTCAGAATCATGCATGGCGTTGAGCAGAAAGCTTTTTATTGTAACCTGCCCTTTAGATCCACATGTTGAATAATTCAATGTCAAAAGTAGGTGACTGGGGTGTTTGGGAGGAGTAGACATCAAGCTTAGCTATATAGTCACAGCACAAGCGAAAGGGACAGCATGTTCCCCACTGCTGTGAAAACTCCTGAGGAAATATATAAAATGACCAACAGCTCTGCTCATTAAGACTGGTTGATCTTCTGAAAAAGCAAATTAGTGTATAGAGAGATTTAAGGAGAGGAAAAGCACCTGGAAAATGAAAAATAGAGTTTCTCCAGGGTAACAAAGAAATTCTCCTCTTCTCTCACTCTTCTTTTCATCTTACAATATTGCTTTTCCAAAATTGCTCTTCCAGTATACAGGCAAAGAATAAATGAAACAGTTGGCTTCAGAATGTTGGGTGTGTGTGTGTGTGTGTGTGTGTGTGTGTGTGAAAAGTAGTAAAACTGGATTTTTCTGTTCAGTGCTGAAAAGATAATCCTTTAGTAACTGACACTGCACTCCTGGTGCATTCAGCAATCTTCTTTTGCCACTAGGAAACCAAATAGGACTCTCTTTAAAGTAATCAGACTTACAGAGTCTGTCTTGGAGTTTAATTTGGAGAAAAGGTCATCATACTATGTCTAGTTTTCCTTGTTATGCTCTGTCATTGGTTCAGCAGGTTTATTATGTGGGCCCATCTTGCCAGGGCACACAATGGCCAACAGTCGTCACTCTCTTGTAGTTTATGGTAAGAGGGAAGGGGAAGATAAACAAGCAAATAAG